AAAAAAAAAAGGAAAAAAAAAGGCCAACACTACAAAAGCAATGGCGTGGCAAAGATTTTAATTCCTTAAGGAAACATTGATTTAATGGACCGCTTGAAGAGCGTTGCCTCGCATTATCATCGTTTTGATGTGGACAGGGATGATTCCCCCCCTTTGAACAAACTCGATTCAGACACCCTGAACACGTTTTACGCGTACAGTATGGTGGATGTCGAAGTGGTCGGTGTGACCTCGTGCTCCTGCGTCGAAGTTGGCGCGACCTCGTGCTCCTCCGAAGAAGTTGTCTCGATCTCATGCTCCTCCGACTCGGCTGCTCTCGCCATGGCTCCCTGGCGATTTCTCTGGAACCTGGCCGCTCTTGCCGCCGCTCCATGGCGCGCTCCTCCCAGCTTAGCTGCCCTCGCCCTTGCTGCCCTTGCCGCCCTTGCCATCGCTGCCTCACGTTTTCTCTGCAGCCTGGCCTCCCTTGCGAGTATTACCCGCCGCATTCTTTCCACCATCGCGACCCTCCTCTTTCTCGCCTTTGCTTCCCTCGCCATTGTCGCCCGACGAAATCTCTCTTCCCTGGCTGCTCTTGCTTTGGCTTTTTTTTCCCTCGCCGCCTGACGGGCTCTAAGCCACTTTTCCGCCCTGGCCGCGGCTTCCACGCGTTTCCTCTGTATTTTAGCTTGCCTCGCCATTGCTGCCTGGCGAAATCTCTCTTCCCTGGCTGCTCTTGCTTTGGCTTTTTTTTTCATTGCTGCCTGACGGGCTCTCATCCACTTTTCTGCCCTTGCCTCGGTTGCCAGACGTCTCCTCTGCATGTTGTCTTGTCTTGCCATTGGCCCCTGGCGCCGTCTCTGCACCTCAGCTATCGTTAGAGATGCCGCCTGCAGCATTGATCCCGAAGCCACATCCTTGGTGAATGCTTGGATTCTAGCAACGACACTAGAGCGATAAAGAAGTATCATAGATAAATGTTAATAGCAGAAAACTATGCACTGTAAAGGACTATGTTGTAAAAAAAAATATGCCTGTTATTTGCAAATACGTAGGTATTTAAAATTTACCTGTCATATGAGGAGGCCTCCTGGATTGTAAGAATTTGTTATGAGGAAAAGCGAAACATACAATATTAGGGCTACCATTCGTCAATTCATTACTAGCGCTTAGCTGTGACCAGTTTTTGTTGTTGTTGTTGCTGTTGTTTTGACACCGGATCCGGTTAATTTGAGAAAATACCCGGTGGGTCAAAGTACAAAACTTAACTTCTCATTTTCCATAACATTTGCCAGCCTTTACACAATAGGCCTATCGATAGCCTACACACTACCTCCCGATAGGCCTACAGACAGACCCACACCATACCTTCCGGCCTTTACACAATAGGCTTACAGACAGTCCTACACCCTTACTGCCGGCCTTTACACATTGGTCGTACAGTCTTACACCATACCCGTGGCTCTTCGTTGATTAATATAATAGTCGCCTCCCTACAAAAAAATGCAACCTTCTTACCTGAGTTCAACCGTCACGCGTGATGCTCGCTGCTTCACAGGCTTTTTCCCCCCCCCCACTCAGTACTATTAATATCAAACATGTTGTGAAGGGGAGGGTTGGTTTTAATAGTCGCCTCCCTACAAAAAAATGCAACCTTCTTACCTGAGTTCAACCGTCACGCGTGATGCTCGCTGCTTCACAGCCTTTTACCCCCCCCCCCACTCAGTACTATTAATATCAAACATGTTGTGAAGGGGAGGGTTGGTTGCTATAAGGAAGCAGCCACACCAGAAGCAAATCAAAAATATAATAGATATTCTTATTGTAAGTAAATTTAGTCAAGTCGAACTTATAAATACTCATACAACGGGTATAGGCATATGCTTACTTGGATTACATACAAGCACCGGATATAGGTATAGGCCTACCGGGATTACATGCAAGCACCGGATATAGGTATAGTCCTACCGGGATTACATACAAGCACCGGATATAGGTATAGTCCTACCGGGATTACATGCAAGCACCGGATATAGGTATAGTCCTACCGGGATTACATACAAGCACCGGATATAGGTATAGTCCTACCGGGATTACATACAAGCACCGGATATAGGTATAAGCCTACCGAGATTACATCCAAGCACCGGATATAGGTATTGGCCTACCGGGATTACATACAAGCATGTTGTTCGCCAGTCAAAACTAGGACAATCGAGTGACCCAGTAAACAAATGTATGACTGATGATTTGCGCTGGTGACTTTGTTTAAAGTGGGGAAGAGTTGCGCAGCGTCAACCTCACTCTCTCGTCCGGACCCACCGTGTCCAGTGGCAAGACTAAGACGGCCGGAGGTGGGTTACGGATGCAGTGGATGACCAAGATGTTCTACGTGCCTCAATCTTGTTCAGCACACTCCACGGTGCGTTGCTGTAATCGCCATCTCCTCCGCTGAGCCTGAACGGTCTCCTCCGCAGGATCCGTCGAAGTCCAGGCTTCGCAATGCAGCAGGTGGGCAGTCCTAAATCACCGAGGGTTTGAGGCCCATCAGCTCCCCTCACCCGGTTTACCCGGCTAGTGGAAGCCGATGGCCAGGGCGTGGCTGCTGTTGCATGCTAACAGCCGCTGGGATGCACAGGGTGAGAGTGGAGTGACAGTAGAGGACCAAGGCGGACGAATTGATTCTAGAAGCACAACGTTTTCCCCCATCATGGGTACCACCACTTCCTGTACACAGCCTTAAAAAGAGGAAAAGTACGGATCTGATAGTTCAGATCCGTAGACCCGATAGTTCAGATCCGTAGACCCGATAGTTCAGATCCGTAGATCCGATAGTTCAGATCCGTAGATCCGATAGTTCAGATCCGTAGATCTGATAGTTCAGATCCTTAGATCCGATAGTTCAGATCCTTAGATCCGATAGTTCAGATCATTAGATCCGATAGTTCAGATCCGTAGATCCGATAGTTCAGATCCGTAGATCCGATAGTTCAGATCCGTAGATCCGATAGTTCAGATCCTTAGATCCGATAGTTCAGATCCGTAGATCAGATAGATCAGATCCGTAGATTCGATAGTTCAGATCCGTAGATCCGATAGTTCAGATCCGTAGATCCGATAGTTCAGATCCGTAGATCCGACAGTTCAGATCCTTAGATCCTATAGTTCAGATCCGTAGATCCGATAGTTCAGATCCGTAGATCCGATAGATCAGATCCGTAGATTCGATAGTTCAGATCCGTAGATCCGATAGTTCAGATCTGTAGATCCGATAGATCAGATCCGTATATCCGATAGTTCAGATCCGTAGACCCGATAGTTCAGATCCGTAGACCCGATAGTTCAGATCCGTAGATCTGATAGTTCAGATCCGTAGATCCGATAGTTAAGATCCGTAGATCTGATAGTTCGGATCCTTAGATCCGATAGTTCAGATCCTTAGATCCGATAGTTCAGATCCGTAGATCAGATAGTTCAGATCCTTAGATCCGACAGTTCAGATCCGTAGATCCGATAGTTCAGATCCGTAGATCCGATAGTTCAGATCCTTAGATCCGATAGTTCAGATCCGTAGATCCGATAGATCAGATCCGTAGATTCGATAGTTCAGATCCGTAGATCCGATAGTTCAGATCCGTAGATCCGATAGTTCAGATCCGTAGATCCGATAGTTCAGATCCGTAGATCCGATAGTTCAGATCCGTAGATCCGATAGTTCAGATCCGTAGATCCGATAGTTCAGATCCTTAGACCCGATAGTTCAGATCCGTAGATCCGATAGTTCAGATCCTTAGACCCGATAGTTCAGATCCGTAGATCCGATGGTTCAGATCCGTAGATCCGATAGTTCAGATCCGTAGATCCGATAGTTCAGATCCTTAGACCCTATAGTTCAGATCCGTAGATTCGATAGTTCAGATCGGTAGATCTGATAGTTCAGATCCGTAGATCCGATAGTTCAGATCCTTAGATCCGATAGTTCAGATCCTTAGACCCGATAGTTCAGATCCTTAGATCCGATAGTTCAGATCCGTAGATCCGATAGATCAGATCCGTAGATCCGATAGATCAGATCCGTAGATCCGATAGTTCAGATCCTCAGATCCGATAGTTCAGATCCTTAGATCCGATAGTTCAGATCCGTAGATCCGATAGTTCACATCTTTAGACCCGATAGTTCAGATCCTTAGACCCGATAGTTCAGATCCGTAGATCCGATAGTTCAGATCCGTAGATCCGATAGTTCAGATCCTTAGATCCGATAGTTCAGATCCTTAGATCCGATAGTTCAGATCCGTAGATCCGATAGTTCAGATCTGTAGATCCGATAGTTCAGATCCGTAGATCCGATAGTTCAGATCCGTAGATCCGATAGTTCAGATCCGTAGATCCGATAGTTCAGATCCGTAGATCCGATAGTTCAGATACGTAGATCCGATAGTTCAGATCCGTAGGTCCGATAGTTCAGACCCGTTATCCGATAGTTCAGATCCGTAGATCCGATAGTTCAGATCCGTAGATCCGATAGTTCAGATCCTTAGATCCGATAGTTCAGATCCGTAGATCCGATAGTTCAGATCCTTAGATCCGATAGTTCAGATCCGTAGATCCGATAGATCAGATCCGTAGATCCGATAGTTCAGATCCGTAGATCTGATAGTTCAGATCCGTAGATCCGATAGTTCAGATCCGTAGATCTGATAGTTCAGATCCGTACATGCAAGCACCGGGTATAGGTATGGGCCTACTGGGATTGCATACAAGCATCGCCGTGACATCGGGTATAGGCAATTGCCTACTGGGATTACATAAAACTGACACTTAGGCACTCGATCTAGTGTGCTCAGCATAGACTAGAATTGACTAGATGGTCGACCAATTGCTGATGTCAGAGCTAAAACATTAAAATGAAAGAAAGTATAATACCAAAAAAAACAAAAAAACTACCACAAAAACATGAAATACCAAATAAGCTTAGTGTACCTGCCGAAAGCCATTGGAACATAAAGAAAACTATTTTAAAAGCAGTAAAGTAAATCGTCTGTAGCCCAGAGGGTTCGATGACAAATGTCTCCTCATTGTTTCCATGTGATACAGTGGCATGTGGTCTAGGGTTACGGTTTCACACTTCCGCAAAGCAAAATGGCGGACATCGACCAATCAAAACGCGCTGTACACGTCATGCATAGCGTTTTTTAGTTTTATTTTTTTTTTTTTTAAATACTTTTTTTTTTTTCGTTCATGGTTATTTTTAGATACATTTGTCATCAGATTGGCCTTCTTTTAGCGAATTTTTAGCTTTTCAATTATATTAAAATACGATATAATCGAATGCAGAAATTTCGCGTTAAAAATTGTAGGTGCTAATTTTGGGCAAGTTGTAAACAAAATCATAGNTTTTTTAGTTTTTTTTTTTTTTTTTTTTAAATACTTTTTTTTTTTTACGTTCATGGTTATTTTAAGATACATTTGTCATCAGAATGGCCTTCTTTTAGCGAATTTTTAGCTTTTCAATGATATTAAAATACGATATAATCGAATGCAGAAATTTCGCGTTAAAAATTGTAGGTGCTAATTTTGGGCAAGTTGTAAACAAAATCATAGAGCTACAACTTATTCTTATCACGTTAATTTTGATAAAACAATTTTTAAAAATAATTTCAATAATAAAAAAAATATGATTAGGATTTATTTATTAATCTATTATTATTTTTTTTTAAATTCTACCAGAAAATTCAAATTTTGAAGTTTAAAAAGAAAGCAATATCTTTGTCGACTTTCGAATATTTTGTGGAGCCGGAGGTTGATTCCTTCAGTTTTATCGAAATTCTCCTTTAACTTGAAAAGCAAGAAAAAAAAAGAAAAAAAAGTTAGATCCGTATTGATTTCCAATCAGGCCAGAGGGCAATCAAAATGGCTGCCGAAAGTCACCCCCCCCCTCTGTAACAATAGATTCTCACACTTTTGTCACCCTCTGTAACAATAGATTCTCACACTTTTGTCACCCTCTGTAACAATAGATTCTCTCACTTTTCTCAACCTCTGTAACAATAGATTCTCATACTTTTCTCACCCTCTGTAACAATAGATTCTCACACACTTTTGTCAGGAGTTTTTGGTTTAACACGGTGCTCTCGGCTCACCCATTCGTCAGCGCTGGCGTGTTCGGCTTAGCATCGCCCGCATGTTGATTTGTGGGCAGTTCTATAATCCTTGCTCTCGTATTTCTCTTACTTGAAGGTTTGGACAATTATAATTAGAGCAGCGGTTCTCAACCTGTGGGGTCGCGACCCCTTGGGGGGGGGGGAATCGAACTACCCTTACACGGAGGTCGCCTAAGATCATCGGAAAACACAAATTTATGAAGTAGCAATTTCTATAATCCTTGCTCTCGTATTTCTCTTACTTGAAGGTTTGGACAATTATAATTAGAGCAGCGGTTCTCCACCTGTGGGGTCGCGACCCCTTGGGGGGGGGGGAATCGAACTACCCTTACACGGAGGTCGCCTAAGATCATCGGAAAACACAAATTTATGAAGTAGCAATTTTATGGTATAGGGGGTCCTCCACAACATGAGGAACGGCATTGAAGGGTCGTGGCATTAGGAAGGTTGAGAACCACCGAATTAGAGTTTTTAGTGATAGTTTAAGTGATAGTTCAAGGACCGGAAGAGATGTTAGCATTGAAAAAACAACAACAACAACAATGGAACATAAAACTTTGGTAAGAAATTTTAAACCGTCATGGATGGAAGGGAAAACAACAAAACTTAAACAATACGTGTACGAAAGTAGTGTGTTGTCTTTGTGTTGTCTTTGTGTTGTCTTTGTGTTGTCTTTGTGTTGTCTTTGTGTTGTCTTTGTGTTGTCTTTGTGTTGTCTTTGTGTCGTCTTTGTTTCGTCTTTGTGTTGTCTTTGTGTTGTCTTTGTGTTGTGTTTGTATCATCTTTGTGTCGTCTTTGTGTCGTCTTTGTGTTGTCTTTGTGTTGTCTTTGTGATGTCTGTGTGTTGTCTTTGTTTTGTCTTTGTGTCAGTCGAGGTTCACCCTGAAACACACAAAAAGTTGACCATACTTAAAAAAAGTTGACCATACTTAAAAAAAGTTGACCATACTTCCACAAAACAAAAAAGTGGGGGTGAGGCGAAGGGTGGCACGGCGAGGGAAAAGTCCAATGTTAATATCCTTTGACTGTAAATAGGTAAACATATATTAAGGAACGGCCACTTCTGTCATCTGAAGATCCCTCAAGGATCCTGGGAGAGGGACTCGAATTAGCTCTCGGTGGGGCTTTGAAAGAGATCAAAAAACGGGGATCTTCGCAGGAAAGTACGGCCGATATTCTGAGGAGACGCCACAGCTTCACCGTGTCTTGTTTGATGTTTAAGCCGCAGACCTCTTCGTCTTTCGACGGTTTAACCCCCCGTGAGTGGAGTCAGGGAGAAATTGGTGGCAATCAGAGATGCGGTGGAGGGGGTGCAATACTAATTGCTAGAATTAAGAGCCTTCATTTTTATAGATATGAGGTCAGCGTTGGGAGCAGGGGGTGGTGTGGGGGGGGGTGGTTTACGTTTGTGGCGCCCCTGGTTATGATACTTTGACGGTTTATTTTTAATTGTGAGACAAATTTGAAAGTATTTCCTAAATGTTGTATATAATTTTGCACTGAATACTTTTTTTACCATCCATGTTTTACAACATAATACAAAAAAAAACAAATGAAATTTCTCTACTCTAAGATTTAAATTGGGGATATTTGGCTGTTTGTCCCAGCCATTGTTAAAACTTCCTTCTTAGCTAATATGTGAAAATGGGTTTGGTTTTAGAAACGGGACATTTAGGCGTCCAGAGAGACTTTTTCGGGACACCGGGGAAAAAAAAAAAAGAAAAGTGGGGGACAGCCCCGTTTTTACTTGACGTATGGTCACCCTCTATATGGTCACCCTCTATATGGTCACCCTCTATATGGTCACCCTCTATATGGTCACCCTATTTTCTAAAGAAATCAGGTAAAAATGAAAACTTAAAAACGTTTACATCATTCTTGGTCCGGCGATATCCTTTAAGTCAGGCTGACCTAGGCAATACAGCGTCTCATTTTGTAGCCCCTGAGCGAACTGGGGTATTTCCCGCCCATTCCTTCTCAGCCCCACCATCTCTCCTCCATTCCTTTTCAGCCCCACCATCTCTCCTCCATTCCTTCTCAGCCCCACCATCTCCTTTCCATTCCTTTTCAGCCCCACCATCTCTCCTCCATTCCTTTTCAGCCCCACCATCTCTCCTCCATCCCTTTACATATTGTGTCAGTAATACAATATGCTTAGGAAAATCTGCCAATAATCGATGTGATTTTAAATTGTTCTAAATTTCTGTTCTATAACAAAGTATTCTCACGGTTCCAATCCTTGAGGTGGCAAAATAAGCCCAACAATTGGCGGTCCCGCTGAAAGAGATGGATGTGGGGTTGGGAGAGGATAAAGTCGCTGTGGGTGATGCTAAGAAATAGAGTGCACCAGAAAGTACAGAGTTTATACAGAGAATGCGGGGGAGGGGGGGGAGGCAAGAGTTATTAAGGGCGCTACGGGTCTATCGGAGACTTTGACCTGATTTTGAAGCCATCGAAACTTCGCTTGGAAAATCTTTACATACTCGCTTCACATCCAGGGCACGTGAATGAATTGTCACACGACTATCCCCCTTTCCCCAGCTTTGAATGCACTGCCCGGGGTAGCTTTGGGTCCCAATTTGAATATTTTATAATCCAAGCCATGTCTTGTTTAAAAAAAAAATTGGCCTTGCCCACGGGGGTGGGGTGGGGGGTGGGGGGAGGGGAATGTGTGAAAATGGAGTTTGCCGTCTCTTCGGCTTGGGATTACGATGGTATGACTTCTTATACCACTCATAGTGTATGTTGTCTTACAACATAAACACTTTCTTATGGTTACGGGAAATTTGATCGAAAGAAATTTCGTCGACGGTAATTTGATCGACGGTAATTTGATCGAACGGAATTTTGGTCGAATTTTTTTTCTTCTTCCAGTTTTAACGTTAAAATTTTCGTCAAATCTCTTTTTGAACGCACTATACTATATAGTCAAAAAAATAATGCGCTCAAAAAGAAATTTGAAGCAAAATTTTAACGTAAAAACTAAAGAAAAAAAAAGAAAGATTCGACCAAAATACCGTTCGATCAAATTACCATCCATCAATTTACCGTCGACGAAATGTCTTTCAATCTAATTTCCGGATACACTTCCATATGAGTTAACCTTACATCAAAAATCAAACTAGAATTTAAAAAAAAAAAAAAAAAAAAAAAAAAAAAAAAAAAAAAAAAAAAAAAAAAAAAAAAAAAAAAAATTAAAAGAATAAATAAACAATGTTGTGACAATGATTTTAATGTTATGAGGGAAATAGATTTAATGAGCCGTCTGGAAGGACGCTGCATCAAACGATCATTGACCATCATGTTGGTGCAGACCATCATGGTCCGTCTTGAACAAACTCGATTCGGATATCCCCGAACACGTGTTTACGGGTGTTAATAGTGGATGTCGAAGACGTAGGTGTGAACGCACGCTCCTCCGACTCAGCTGCTCTTGCCACTGCTCCCAGGCGACTGCTCTGGAACAGGGCCGGCCTTGCCACTGCTCCCTGCTGGCGATTTCTCTGGAACCTGGCCGCTCTTGACATCGCTGCCCGGCGATTCCTCTTGCCACTTGACTTCTCTTGCGATTTCTGCCTGACGTGTGCTTTGTGAATCAGCCGCCCTGCGCGTATCTGACATTGTCATCGCTGCGTCCCGTCGTTGCTTCAACGTTTCCGTTGTCGCCTGACGTTTTCCTTTCAACGTTTTTGCCCTCGCCAGGGCCGCCTCGCGTTTTCCTTTCAACGTTTCTGCCTTTTCCATTACTGCTTGCCGTTTTCGCTTCAACGTCTCTGCCCTCGCCAGCTCTGCCCGACGTGTGGTCTGCAACTTAGCCGCCCTTGCCACCGATGCCCGACGCGTTCTCAGCAACTTGTCTGCCTTGGCCATTTCCGCCTGTCGTCTCCTCTTCAAATGTTCTGCCCTTGCCAAGGTTTCCCGACGCGCTGTCTGCAAATTAGCCGCCTTTGTCTTTGCCGCCTGACGCCTTCTCTGCTGCTTTGACCCCGAAGCCGTAACCCCGATGGTGAGTGACTGTGTTCCATTCATGACACTAGAGTGATACAGAAGTAACATATCAATGATAATAGTAGAAAACTATACCATGTATACGGCTATGTAAAAAAAAAAATTTGCATAACTATAACTAATTGAAATGACCAACTCTAATATTAATAGTAAGTTAAGCCAAACAAGAACTAAATAGGCGCAGTTCTGTAAATTGTAAAGTAAAATAGATCAAGCCAATAGGCCTGTAAGTAAGTATTTCAAATTTGTTTCACACTAATATCACGGTCATATGAGGCCAACCGTAATGAAATAAGTCGTCATTAGAAAATAAAGGGGAAACATTCAATCTTTAGTCAACCATAAGTTTATGCATATTCTTATTTTAAGTTAATTTAGTTAAGTCGGAATTAGAAATAATCATGCAACGGCTATAGGTGTATGCTTAATGGGATTACATACATGGACCGGGTAAGGGCACAGGCCTAGTGCATCGGTGGGGAAAATGTTTTGTGCGGAGGGCCACATTGACAAATGTTAAGTTATGAGGGGGGGTGGGTGGTTTGCACATGTATAGTATTCCAATGTTTACATGTCGATAAACATTTCTCTATATTTAAGTCTGTAAACTCGCAATTTTGCATTACATGACAAATGTCTAGTAATGTTTAAAAACAAAAAGAAAATTAGACAGTTGATCAAAAATATTTTTAAAAAAAACAATCAAAACGGTACATGAAGTTCTGTACACTTCAACAAAATAATTTTAAAACAAAGTAACCTTTAAAAAAATTCTGAATGTCCTCGATGGCCGCATAATATCCGTTGCCGAGTGGCATGTGGCCCGCGGGCCAGAGTTTGCCCAACCGCTGGCCTAGTGGGGTTACATACATACACCGGTTATAGGCATAGCCCTCCTGTGATTACTTACAAGCACCCGTTTTTTTATATACGTACAGTCCTACTGGACTTACATACATGCACCGGGTATACGCATACGCCTACTGGGATTACAAACATTTAACGGGTCAAAGCCTACTGGATTTACATTAAAGAATCGGCTAAAGGCATTAGGCCTACTGGAGTTACATACAAGCACCGGGTATAGACATAGGACTACTGGGATTACATACAGGCACCGGGTAGAGACATAGGCCTACTGGGATTACATAAAATTGACATTACAGACTCAGCCTAGTATATTCAGCTTTAGACTAGACGTTCGACATTATTCTTCTATCATAGAGTTGAAAATGTATAATGAAAGAGCAAAACAATTCCAAAGGCTGTTACATCAGAATCAAATGAAGCTTTCATTACCTGATGAAATCCATTGGCAAATTCTAAACAACTTCCGAAATAATCATGTAAATCGTCTATAGTCTAGATGAATCGACTACAGCAATGTCTTTCCTTTGTTTATATCTTTTGCAGTGCAGCTCAAACTTCCGCAAAGCAAAATGGCGGAAATCGACCAATCAAAACGCGTAGTAGCTACGCAACAGCCAATCGACTACTTTTGTGTTCACGTCATTCCGAACTTCCGACAACTTCCTTGGAAGTTCAGCTCAGCCAAGCAGAGGAAAAAACCCCCCCCCCCCCCCCCCCCCAAACTGTCTTAAAAATATGGTATTTACTCATTAATTATTATTATTGTATGGGAAAAAAATAACAACACATAATCATGAGAGTCCTAGACCAGTGATACGAATAGTTTTTTTGTCCAGCTTCTCAGCTCCGCCATGTCTCATTCATTCCTTCACAGCTCAGCCATGTCTCATTCATTCCTTCTCAGCTCCGCCATGTCTCATTCATTCCTTCACAGCTCAGCCATGTCTCATTCATTCCTTCTCAGCTCCGCCATGTCTCATTCATTCCTTCACAGCTCAGCCATATCTCATTCATTCCTTCTCAGCTCCGCCATATCTCATTCATTCCTTCTCAGCTCGGTCATATCTCATTCATTCCTTCTCAGCTCCGACATATCTCATTCATTCCTTCTCAGCTCCGCCATATCTCATTCATTCCTTCTCAGCTCCGCTATATCTCATTCATTCATTCACAGCTCAGCCATATCTCATTCATTCCTTCACAACTCAGCCATATCTCATTCATTCCTTCTCAGCTCTGTCATATCTCATTCATTCCTTCAGAGCTCTGCCATATCTCATTCATTCCTTCACAGCTCTGCCATATCTCATTCATTCCTTCACAGCTCGGCCATATCTCATTCATTCCTTCACAGCTCGGCCATATCTCATTCATTCCTTCACAGCTCGGCCATATTGATTGATTTGATATTTATATCGCTCCATATCCATGCCATTCTAGCGTGCTCACTGGGCTCTGGTCCTCCGAAATCTATTTAAACAAAAAAGTTTTAAATTGTTTCTTAAATTATTTTTTTATCATTTACAATTCCCCTCAAAGACTGAAGCAAACTGTTCCATAATTTTGGCGCTATCGCTTCAAAAGAGCGCGCTCCGTACGACTTTTTTCTGTGTTTATCCACACTAGGAACACTCAGCGAGTACTGTGATGAAGACCGCAGGCTCTTCAAGGATACATGTTTATAAATCAGTTCCTTGAGATATTCCGGTGCTGAGCCATCTCTGCAGCTGTGCGCCAGGGACAGAATTTTGTCGTTAATGCGCTCACTCACAGGAACCCAATGGAGATCGCGTAGAACTGGGGTGATGTGGTCAGATTTCTTCATCCGCGATACAATGCGTGCTGCAGTATTTTGTATCTTTTGGAGTCTCTGAATTTGGTTCTGAGGTAAACCCCACAAACAACTGTTACAGTAATCTAATCTTGACTGGATTTTAGAGTTACTGCTTCAGCATTGGCTGTTCTCCTATTGAGTTGAGGACGCAGCTGACCCAGGGCACATCTCTTCCATTCCTACTCAGCTCCACCACATCTCACCCATTCCTTCTCAGCTCCACCATATCTCTTCCATTCCTTCTCAGCCCCACCATATCTCTTCCATTCCGTTGGGTTCAATGATGGAATTGACTAGTAAGAGATTTGGAACTCGGTCGAATGTGTATTCACTCAGAGAAGAGCTTAATCGTTTGTTTTTTTTAAAAATAGGGTACGTCTAAATTTTTGTCAAACTGAGTAGCTTGCCCGTGATTGCCACCCTACCTTTTACCAATTTGAGTTGGTTCCAAAAAATTTTTTTTCTAAACTCGATTCCAGTAAGTTAAGTAGGGTTTAATTAAATCAGACCCAATAATACAGTGTTTGAAAATAAAACGTATACTTTTTACTCAGAATAAATGTTATCCTCAGAAATCACGATGACGTCATCCGACCCACGGTTTGCTTAGCCAAAACCATGACAACCACTAATGACATGAAAGCGGAAATGAAATGCACCAACACATTATGCGCTTCTCTCTCCGAAAATTAATACTTTCTCCCCTTTCGTGATCGTACCCCACGGCTGTATGTATATCAATTTCGTATAAAGTGAGGCCAGAGAATACATCAAACGTCTTAGCTTTCTTCTTTGAAGTATTTTTTTTTTTAAATAAAAAAGATATACATTTTTTCGTCACATGTTTAAATTACGAATACAAGGCACGAACTTATTTTGTTCTTAGTTGTTGTTTTTTTTTTTTCGGAAAGTTCCATTGCAGTCGAATGTTATCTTTCTCTTCTGCACATATTTTGTTCCTCTAGCTGCTATCATCTCTCTTTTTTTTTTTTTTTTTTCTTTTTTTTTTTTTTT